AAATAAATAAAGTCCTATATGTCCATCCCTTAAAAAGAGAGAGAGAAAGGGACTTTTATATAAATATCTACGCACCCAACTCAGGTGCGCCTAAATATGTGAAGGAAAGACTGCTGGAGCTAAAAGGAGACATAGGGAAAAATACTATAATTGTTGGAGATCTCAACACCCCGTTATCTCCTATAGACAGATCTTCTAGACAGAAAATAAATAGAGAGATACAGGACTTAAATGATACTATAAATGGAATGGGCTTGACAGATATCTATAGAACTTTCCACCCTACATCCACAACATATACATTTTTCTCACCCCGACATGGAACCTTTTCAAAGATAGATCATATATTAGGACACAAATCAAGCCTTTACAGATTCAAAGGCATAGAAACTGTACCCAGCATCTTCTCTGACCATGATGGAATTAAACTCAAGATTAATTTCAAGAAACAACCCCGAAAACACACGAACACATGGAAACTGAACAACCTACTTCTGAATGACTTCTTCACTACTGAAGAAATTAAGGCTGAAATAAACAAATTTATGGAAACAAATGATAATGAGGACACAAGTGTCCAGAACCTATGGGACACAGCAAAAGCAGTCATAAGAGGGAAATTCATAGCAATTAGTGCACATAAGAAAAGGATGGAAAGATGGCAAGTAGATAACTTATCATCATGCCTCAGAGAACTGGAAAAACAACAACAAACGAACCCCCAAAATGCCAGGCGAAAAGAAATAATAAAGGTTCGAGCAGAAATAAATGAAATAGAAAATAAACGAACCATACAGAAAATAAATGAAAGCAAAAGCTGGTTCTTTGAAAAGATCAACAAGATTGATACTCCATTGGCTAGACTGATCAAGAAGAAGAAAGAAAGAAACCAGATTAATCAAATATGTGATGAAACAGGCAATATTACCACGGACATAGCAGAAATACATAATATCATTAGAGGATACTATGAGCGACTTTACGCCAACAAACAAGATAACCTGGAGGAGATGGACAAATTCCTGGATGCATATAAACTACCAAGATTGGATCAGGAAGACATAGAGAATCTGAATAGACCTATAACAAGCCAGGAGATTGAATCAGTAATTAATAATCTCCCAACAAAGAAAAGCCCAGGCCCAGATGGCTTCACTTGTGAATTCTACAAAACTTTCAAGGAAGAATTAACCCCTATCTTACTAAAATTATTTCTAAAGATTCAAAAGGAAGGAAACCTTCCAAATTCATTTTATGAAGCCTCCATCATCCTCATCCCCAAAACAGATAAGGATATGACAAAAAAGGAAAACTACAGACCAATATCATTGATGAATATAGATGCGAAAATTCTCAACAAGATACTCGCAAATCGTATCCAACAACATATAACAAAGATCATTCATCACGACCAGGTAGGCTTTATACCAGGGATGCAAGGGTGGTTCAATATACGCAAGACCATAAATGTAATACACCACATTAACAGAAAGAAAGATAAAAACCATATGATCATCTCAATTGATGCGGAGAAAGCGTTTGATAAAATACAACATCCTTTTATGATTAAGACTCTCAGTAAGATTGGTATAGAAGGGTCATTTCTGAACACAATAAAAGCAATCTATGAAAAACCTACAGCTAATATTATACTGAATGGGGAAAAGCTGAAAGCTTTTCCTCTGAAAACAGGTACTAGGCAAGGCTGCCCACTTTCTCCACTGCTCTTTAATATAGTACTGGAAGTCTTAGCTATTGCAATCAGAGAAGAGAACAGTATTAAAGGCATTCGAATAGGCAAAGAAGAGTTGAAAATATCTTTATTTGCAGATGACATGATGGTATACTTAGAAGACCCAAAGGTATCCATGAAAAAACTGCTTGAAGTAATAAGTGAATACAGTAAGGTGGCAGGATACAAAATCAATATCCAAAAATCTATAGCATTTCTATTTATGAACAACAAGTTGAATGAAGCAGAGCTGAAGAAAGGAATCCCTTTCACCGTAGCCACAAGATGTATAAGATATCTAGGGATAAACCTAACTAAGAAAGTCAAAGACCTTTATAAAGAAAACTACGAGAATCTTAAAAAAGACATTGAAAGTGACATAAAAAAGTGGAAGGACATCCCATGCTCCTGGATTGGTAGAATTAACATAATCAAAATGGCAATTCTACCCAAATTAATCTACATGTTTAATGCAATTCCAATCAAAATACCAGAGATATTCTTCAGAGATCTAGAAAAGACAATTATAGAATTTGTCTGGAACCATAAAAGACCTCGTATTGCAAAAGCAATCCTGCGTAAGAAGAATGGAGTAGGAGGCATATCACTCCCTGATCCCAAGATATACTATAAAGCTGTGGTCATCAAAACAGCATGGTATTGGCATAAAAACAGACATGTGGACCAATGGAAGAGAATAGAGACCCCAGAAATAACTCCCAAAGCTTATAGCCAACTGATCTTTGACAAAGGATATCAGTCAATCCATTGGGAAAAGGAAAACCTCTTTAGTAAATGGTGCTGGAAAAACTGGGTATCCACCTGCAGAAAGATGAAACTGAACCCCCATCTTTCACCATTAACAACAGTCAACTCAAAATGGATCAAAGATCTGAACCTAAGACCTCAGACAATAAAACTACTTGTGGAAAATGCTGGGGAAACTCTGGGAGACATTGGAGTAGGCAAAGACTTCTTAAATAAGACTCCCAAAGCACAGGCAATAATCCCTAAAATAGACAAGTGGGACTATATTAGACTAAGAAGTTTCTGCACAGCAAAGGACACAGTAACAAGTGTGAACCGACAACCCTCAGAATGGGAAAATATTTTTGTTAAATATGCCTCAGACAAGGGACTGATAACGAGAATACATAGGGAACTCAAGTGCCTTATGCGAAAAAAAATGATTAACCCGATTAAAAGATGGGAAAGTGAGCTGAACAAAAGTCTCTCTAAGGAAGACATACGAACAGCCAAAAAGCATATGAGGAAATGCTCAACATCCCTCATCATAAGGGAGATGCAGATAAAAACCACAATGAGATACCACCTAACCCCTGTCAGAATGGCAAAGATTAAGAATATAAAAAGTGATAAGTGTTGGCGGGGATGTGGTGAAAAGGGAACCCTCCTACACTGTTGGTGGGAATGTAAACTAGTTCAACCACTGTGGAGAACAATATGGAGGTTCCTCAAAGATCTACAAATAGAACTACCATTTGATCCAGCAATCCCACTTCTGGGTATTTACCCAAAAGACAGGAGAACGCTCAGTCAGAAAAGTGCTTGCACATCCATGTTTATTGCAGCATTATTCACAATTGCCAAGACATGGAACCAACCTAAATGTCCACAAACTGATGAATGGATTGGAAAAGTGTGGTATATATACTCTATGGAATACTACTCAGCCATAAAAAATAACAAGACCCTGGAATTTGATAGAAAATGGTCAGATATGGAGGATCTATTGCTGAGTGAAGCAAGCCAGGCTATGAAAGAAAGATATTGTATGTATCCACTCAATATATACCGACTATCCGCACTCTATAATAGAGAGCAAAAATTCGGAGGACATAAAAACAGTGAAGGTACTTAATGAGAATAGGACAGTGTGGAATGGGGTAAGTGAAGAGAAGAGGATAGAGAAAGATAGCAAGTGAACAATAGAGAGACAGGACATTAGTGAGAAACAGGGGTTATCAACTGTTGATGATGACATGTATAGTATTCTCAACTGGATTGGTCTGAGAAGTATTTCATGATGGGCAAAGTATTTTTACAAGCAAAACGAGAAATAGCAATTGACTGTTTTATAAAAATAATTAGAATAATAAAAATAATGATTGGGGAAAACAGAAAAGATATGGAATGTTGAAGTGGGGAGATTAATGTCTCTGTATTGACTGACATGCATGGCATTCCCTTTTGAAAAAACAAAGTAATACACTGTAAAGTTATATGTAATCCAATGTAATATAAAGAAGATTATGATGATAATAAAAATAAAACAAACAAACAAAAATATCTAAGAATTTCAACAGTTTTGAGCTCATAGAAGGAAATGAGGGGAAAAAAAAAAACCCTAAATCACAGTGGCAGAAAGATCAAAAGGAGAATAAGAGAGAGTGGTGTCAGAAGGCCAGGAAATGGTGTCCCCAAGAGCAACTGGGAACAACGGAGTTGAATGGTGCTGAATAATTAAGATGAATACCAAAGGGTGCCCAGTTTGGCATCAAGAAGCCAGTATCCTGATCAATTGTGAGTGCGAAAACTTGCTTGGAGTGGGTTGAGAAGCGAGAGGAGTTGAAAGAACACGTGTTATAATTCTTTAAAGAAGTTTGGCTTCTCTAAACGCTGTGTTGCTCATTTTCCACCTGTGATTTCAACATTGACGTCCTTATGTGACCCCTATGGCTGTATGTGTGTGAGACTAACTTATTATTCAAGATATTTATCTACTTCTTTACAAGATAAGGATTAAAAATCACTAAAATCAGGCAAATTTTAATTTTTTTCATGTACTATTTACTAATGCTGCTTTTGATCATGTCAGCTTCATTTTCATCTAAGTTCATTTTTTCCCTTATGACTTATTCCCTTGCTCTTGTGTCAAGAAATTTTTCTCCTTACAGAAATTATGTAACTTTTCATCTTTGTTATTTGAACATTTTTGATTCCATTAAAAATATCTTTAAAAAACACTGCAAATTAATTTTTCTGTATCAATTTAAGGTTTGGAGTACTTCATTTTACTGTCTTAATGGTGGGCAAGCAAGCAATAAAGCTAGTCTTGAAAGTTTTTCTTAGTGTTTTAACCAATTGCCTCCACAGCCTAATGGTAGCAGAAAGGTCTGATTGATCAAAAAGAAAAACTTACAGTTTGGCATGAGATCTGTTTGGTTCGCAGTTCATAGACATTTTGCCTCTGTGTGACTCTCGTGCAGTCCCTTGTATTGTAAAATCCGTCATTCTGTGTTCCCAGTTCCCAGTGCTTCCCAGTGTCACATCGTCAGACCATCTTCCTAGGAGACATTCTCATGAAGACCAGGCATTCCGAAGCCATACTCACGTGCGAAATCACAGAAAGCACTCTGGGGATGGGTCGGGCAAGGAGCCTCTGGAAACCAAAGGAAGATCCCATTCCAAAATTCAGGAATTTTCAGAGTCCTTTGAACAGCAACTGTGCCTCAGGAGGAGCAAACGCTCTGCCTCTTTGGTACGTAACAGAGCTATGGAATATTTATGCCATTCTTTATACACGTTTTAGTTCATGATAGAATGTGTACACATAGAGAAAGAAAGACAGAGATAGAGAGAGAGAGAGAGAGAGAGAGAGAGAGCGAGCATGCGAGCATGCTCCACAGGGCTTGGTCATGCATGATCAACTCCCTTCTGTCCTCCATCCATCCTGCGAGGACCCTGCTTCCAGGATGACTGGGTGGGGATGCAAATTGTGGCTGCCATGTGGCTTTCAGCTCTACAGTCCAGTCAACCACCAATTGCGATGGGGGCTCGGCCTATTTATGCCATTTTAGAAAAGAAAACCCAAAGAGTTTGTCCTCCTCAAATGTGAGGAGAAAAAATCGAATTTCTCATTCTTTTTCAGGTTGGTAATGGCATCTTTGAAAAATGACACTCAGTTTAAGATAACACAGATAAATAATTTTTTTTTGGCTGGGGACGGGGGTGGTGTCACAGGGTTCATGTGCTTGTCAGATACAGAGAACAGGAGAGGGAAAGGGAGGGGAAGAAAGCAACTCCAGTAGGGCGTGATCACACCGCAATTCTTTCTCCTCCGTTGTGCCATCTTGTCAGAATGTGGGGCTTCCATGCACACGTGTGTGGCATGTTTCTCAGCCTCCTGGGGCTGTGATTTGAACCTTACAGTCAGCCGTACATGATCTGGCTTCCTTAATCACCAGGCCACAGAGCTGGCCAAAATTTTAAAAATACATATACATTTCTTTTGAAGACATTTGGTACAGGAAGAACTACTGGAGGCCCATCAGGGGATGATTTTTTTTTTTTTTTAACCAAGGTCGTCTAGGCCTTTGAGCTTGCATTTGGCAACCTTATAAATAATTATGACTCATTCTCCTTTCACTGTTTAAAGAGAAGAAAAACTAACTTAGTCCTCCTCTGCTTTCCTATTTAATCCATTAGCAAATGGACTATGACAGTGCTGTATTTTATTTTAAAAATACGTACAGAAGGAACCTTCTGGCCACTCCAGCAAGCACCCAGGGAAGGGGAGGTCCAGAAGCTCACAGGGGTCTCACGTGAGTCTAAGTAAAGCACGAGGAAGGGACGGGCATGAAGTGGGGAAAATAACAGAAACCCCAGGAATGGTGCCAAACTTCAATACATACAATCATTAACCAGACATCAATTAATCTGAGGGTAGTTTTTCAACTCTGTGATACGCTCAATGACCTTGAGCAAAATACATATTTTTTTTTGGTGGGTCTTTGGATTTTTGTTTCATTTTACCAAACACGGATAATAATATGTTGCTGCTGTGTAGAAGGCGAACAAAATAACTGAACCTAAGTGTATTAACTCCTGGTTCTTGACCTAGACCCTGCGAGTACACAGGCGAACACTAGGGTGTCCCTGCTTCTCTGTCCTTCTGGGCCAGCGCTCTCTACCTAGCAGCCTGGCTGTCAGGACTGTCACTGCATCTTCTCCCGGCTTTTGCACTTACGATTCACGTTCAGTAAGCTGCTCTTTCCACCGTATCATAAAAGGAGTAAGGATGGGAGATTAGCAAAAAGCCATCACTTTCTATGATAGACCTTATCAAAAATTGCTATTTGTTCGTGTAGTGCTCGTTTTGATATAATTTCAGACTTAGAGAAGTGTTGCAAGAATGGTGCAAAGAATCCCCATAACCTTTCGCCTAGATTCTCTCCGAATGTTAGCATGTTCTATTTACCCACACCCTCTCTCTCCTTCCCAGCCCCAAAGGCACAAAAACACTCTCCTACATAAGCACAATTCAGTAATGAAACTTGGGAAAATAACACAGATCCTGTCTATAAACCTGTGGTTAGCTACTTGTCTCGGTAACATTCTTTATAGAGAAATTCCAGTGTTGCAACCAGTGTTCACGTCCTTGTCTTTTTTATTCTGGAACGGTTTCTGTCTTTCCTTATCTTTCATGACATTGGCATTTTCTTTTTTTAAAAGAATTATTTATTATTTAATTTTTAATTTATCATTCATTTATTTGGATTCGACCACACACATACACACACACACACACAGAGAGAGAGAGAGAGAGAGAGAGAGAGAGAGAAAGGGAGAGAGAGAGAGGCAGAAAGTGAGAAAGCAAGTCACCAAGTCCAGGACTTGAACCGTGGTTGGCCATGTGGGAGTATCCAGTGCCTTGACTACCACGCCACCTGCTGGTCCCAACATTGGCATTTTCTAAAGGGCACAGGTCAGTTGTTTTTCAGAATGAACTTCAATTTGGGTTTATCTCTTATTTTATCGTGATTAGATTCCAACTGTAAACTTTTGCCAAGAATAAAACAGAAAATGAAACAGTTCCTGCTTTAAAACTGACAAGTTGGTCCAGCCTCGGAGGCACAATCCTTAGTGTACTACTGCAATGCTGGAAGCCATGGCTGACCACTGGTTTGGATCCTTGGGTTGGCCTGAAAACATGTTAGGTATATGTACTGTGCCCAAGATCTTGAGGAACTGGAGAGCTGGGTAGAGGGGACAACAATGTGACAAGGCCCAATCAAGGGTGCATTCTCTCTTGAATATACACAAGTTCTCTATCAAAGCAAACAAACCAACCCCACTGGGCTGGCCCTGTAATGCAGCGGTTAGGTGCTGTGCATAGAAAGTCAGAACACATACGGTCCATCGCAGTTCCAATTTCAGCCCTGATGGCTTGAAAAACACACCCGGCAAGTGTGTATGTGTGTGTGTGTGTGTGTGTTCAAAATGCTGATGGGATGGAGAAACGGAGGAAGAAGGATTGGAGTATAGCCACATCCCACTGGGGGTCCTCTCTCTCTTTCTCTTTCTCTGACTAGTGCACATGGTTATAGCAAATTAAAATTTAAAGAAAAGATAGGGTGTTAAGTCAATTTAAAAAAGTAATCTTAATAATTTTTATTGACTATGGTGGCTTCAGAAAAAAAGTCATATAACCCATAATCTTATATATTTGTTTATATAAAATCTATTTCCTAATATTATTGAAGCATAGATTGTAAAAGTGAATACAAAGTTGGTTTGCTTAAAGTCAGCAGAACAAACAATGAAGCTGAGACAAGTTAAGAGAATAAGTATCTTCATATTATCTCTAAACTATAAATTATGGCTGTGCCACTCATTCCCCAAGTTCTTTCTTTGGAATCTCAAGACAATCAGCACAGCATTTTCAATTTAAAGAAATATTTTATTTAACTTTATTTATGACTATTATTCTTATTTTTCAGTTTGATCAGACAGAGAGAGAGAGAGAGAGAGAGAGAGGGAAAGTGAGAGAGCAAGCTGCCAGGTCCAGGACTTGAACCACCTCACAGTCAGCCATGTGGGAATCCAGAGTCTTTAACCACCACACCCTCTGCCAGTCCCTCAGCTTTTGTTTTTATAAAGAGAGATTTTTGCTATATAGTGTGTGTGTGCTCACTGGAGAGACAGAGAGATAGGAAGTGAGAAATCATCGCCCCCACCCCCACCCCACCCTGGGCGGGGGATGGCCATGCTACAATCCCTTCTCCTCCATTCTCTTCTCAGGGTTTTGGGCATGTGAGCACACCCAGTGTGAATTTTAAGCCACCAGGTCCAGGACTCAAACCATAGTTAACTATGTCAGAGTCCAGGGGTATAACCACTACACCATCTACTGGTCCCCATTTTCAACTTTTTTTGACTTAAGAATATTTTTGGTTATATATAGTAACTAGAAGCCTGTTAGGAATTTATAAAATCATTTAAAATGCTGTACATAATATAACAACTAATTTTACATTGAATATTATAGTTTAAATTAGTTTTTCAAAAGCATATAATAAAATATATTTTAATATGTAAAAAGTTAAATATTCAGAACATATACAAATACTTTGAAATGTTTCCAAAACTAACTGCATTAAAAAGTGGTACTGACCATCACCCATAGTCCTTTGTCCCACTGTCGACCCATCATTTATTTTTTTTAATAAACAATAAAGACTGGAAGTGTTAGATTGGTCCCTGAATGGCCTTTAGGTAATTTTCCCACTAGAAAATAAGTAGTGTGAGGAAAGACATTAAGGAGAAAAATAGCAGTAAGACATTTATGGGGCACAGAAATGGATTGTTACCTGTTCATGATAACGTGTAGTATCCTCAACTGGACAGGTGTGAAGTGTATTCATGCTGGGAAAATTTACTTTTCAAGCTAAGTGATGTATAGTAATTGAATGTATAAAATAAATTAAAATTTAAAAATTAAAAAAAAAAAGGAAAGGAAATAAGAAGATGATTGCAGCGACCTTTGGCCAGAGTCCTCCAGTCAGAGCCCTCCCTTACTGGGAGCTGACACCCACAGATGGACGATAAGGTCACAGTGGCAAGTAAGCTAATCAAAGTATGCCATTCTTATGACCCTACTCTTCCACTCATCCCATATAAATACATCATGTCTCCTTGGTGGGGTGGGCTGAAGCACCTCTCATTTCAGATCCCCCCTCCCACCCCGACCCCTGAGGTTCTCTTTCTCTCAATAAACTTTCCTTTTTCTACTGGGGGAAAAAAGTGTGAGAGCCAGTACATGGAATAGTGAAGGTGGGTGGATCCAACATGGCCGACATGGCCGACTGTGCTGCATATAGATGCTGGGTGTGTGTGCGTGGGAGCATGCCCGAAATCCCAAAAGGAAAGAGAAATGGAAGATAAGGGATTGCAGCCCATCTCCAGTGTGTGTGGGGGTGCTTTCTCACTTTCCCCCTCTCTTTCTATTTCTCTCTAGCAAGTGTATGTGCCCTCTGGCAAAAACTTAAAAAGAAGTGTGATTTGTCAAATGTTGTACTATATGGCCTTTCATCTTTTGTTTAGGACCACACGTGGATTTTAAATTGACATATTTTAGCATCACAACCAGCTAGAGACTGCTTTTGTAGCCTAATCCTGAACAAGGAATTCAGATTCTTTTATACTTATACACTCAATTAGCTTGTTTTGATCATTTTCACATGTGTTTTCTAAGTGATGAAAGAAAAAATATATTTCAGATCATTATTTACAAGGATTTCTCAGATAGTCTTTATTCTCAATAAGGGAAAAGTCTAGCTGGAAATATTTCTCACTATATTTTCTCTTTCATATACTTTTTTTTCTTTCTTCAAAGATAGAGCCCGTGCAGGTCATGAGAGAGAGAGAGAGAGAGAGGGATAGAGAGAGAGGGAGAGAGAGATAAAGGGAAAGAAAAGTGAGCACCCTTCACAAGGTCTAGTCATGCCAAGATCCCCCTCCTCCAGTTCCCCAGCTCCTCAGTTTGGGACAGTTGTGCACAAACTTCGTGTTTGAGGTTGCCTGGGCCAGGGGTTTGATCCCCTTGGTCGCCATGTGACTTTCTGCACTGGAGTTCGGTGTGCTGCCACCTCTACCACCACAGCTGGGTCTCCTTTTAATACTGTTTTGATAATATTAGAGACATGCATGGTTGCTAAATATGAATTTTGATCAGATAAATATAAATGATGATCTAACAAAAATTATTTGGAGGTATGTTTATAGAGTTAATACTTTCTAAAGTTTCTCTTAACTTGTATCATAGCTTTATTGTTTGTTTTGCTTAAATTTAATTTTATTTCAAAAAAATTTAAATAAACTTTTTTTTAATTGCCAAAGATATGTGTTAGAGAGAGAAAGAGAACACACCTCCCAATGGGGTTTGTTTATACCACAATCTTTTTCCCTCCTTTCCTCCTTCTCATTAGGCTTTTGGGCACGCATATACACACACACCCCTGGAGAGTTTTTTAAGCTGCCGGAGCTGGGATTTGAACCATGGTTGGCCATGTGGGATACAGTTCCTAATGCATAGTGCTTAACCACTGCACTATGGGGTCATCCTCTGTTCTGCTTCCTGACTTGGATCAATGGGCCATTATGGATAGAAATGAAACAACTCAGATATAAAAACAATCTAACACTGTAGTGTTGCTGCGTCCCTGACACCTCTGCAGTAAACAGACTCCTTTAAAACTCTCAACTTGCAGGGTGGAGTCATGACCTTGCTCCTGTGACCACCCCTCACCTCTGCATGTGCTCATTTGATAGGCACTCAGGGACTCCCCAAAGTTTCTGCTTCAAGTAGTGGGGGAGGGATGATTTTACTTGTTTGTCTTTAAGAAAAGAATTAAAATAATTATTGTCACCACATTTATCAATATCACTGTGTGGTCAGTCATTTCTTTGAAAGGCATGCTGACTAAAGAAACTAAAAACGCGGCCCTCCCCCGAGACTTCCTGCCCTATCACCTTGTGCATGGGTACCATTGCACTTATCGCTACTGTCATTTTCTCATTTCTTTTTAGGCCTAGTCATTGATGCTCTGTCTCCTTCCTCCTAGGAGTAATATTTAGGAAGCAGGGTCTCTATTTGGTGCAGTGTCTCTTGCTCCTGGAACAGTATATGTCCAATAAATCAGCAAATAAATGAAACCTGGAGAACCTTGTCAGGGGATGTTAATCTGGTTGGTTGTGATCCCTTTACACTTCATTCTTCACACAGCCTTCACATTAAAATTCAGAGATCCTAACAGAAAGGTTAGGATCATTCCATGCTATCTCACCTGCCACTTCCCTTTCCAAGGCACCGAGACTGTTAATGCATTTCACATCCAGGTCCCTCTGTACCTCTGAGGCAGTCCTGAGCCCGTTGAGCTTCCTTCCCAGACCTGCCGATGCCCAGCTCCTTCCCACAGCTCTGTGATGAGGTGACTCTCAGGCCTCTCTGTTCCTTTTCTTTTTTGCTGTAGGGCACATGTACTCATCAGAGAGAGAGAAAAAGAGAGACAGTGAGAAATCAGCCCCCTGGGGGGATGGCCACAATCAATCCCTTCTCCTCCAGTGTCCTCTTGGGGTTTGGGGCATGTGTGCACATGTGCTGGGTGTTTGCAAGCTGGCAGTCAGGGACTCAAACCTTGCACTCTGCCACGTGGACTCCAACTGCCTTCAGCTCCTCGTCACCCATTGGTCTCCTCCTTTCCTTTCCTTTATAAGGAAAGCTTGTAGCAATGCATGGAGGTTTATGCGATCTCATTACTAGAAACTAAGACGCGGAAGCTGCCGCACACCAGGGCTTCCTTTGTGCCTGCCTGTTAGGCGTGCTGGCAGCTGATGGTCCATTTCTGCCCTTTTCTGACCCTTCTCTTTCAGGGACCTGAGAGCAGAAAGGAGAGGAATGAAAGAGAACGCCTGAGGGTGGAGACCAGACCCCGCAAGAAAGCGGAGGACAGAAGGAGCTCTGGGAAAGAACACAGAGAGGCCTATGTGGCGCCCCTGTTTGAAAAAGGGTCCAAATAGGACTGTTTCCACCTCAGCTGCTGCCGGTTCTTCTGAGCCCAGTCGCCCTTCAGGATGTCGGAGTGGCGGCTGTAAAAGATGCCGCTGATGCTGAGTGACCAGGTGGGCGGCTGGTACCAGGCTCTTCAGGAAAGCTCGCATCACACCCTCACTTCTTCTGGTGTCTTAGCTGACAGTGTAATCTGCTTTGTTACCCTTTTATGGAAATAAAGAATAACAGGTATTTTAATAGAATAAAGTAAGTTTTGGAAATGCGAAACAAGATATTTAAAGAGCCACCCACATATTTTCACCAACCCTGCTTCCACATCAGTCTCTCAAATCATCTTAAATAAAAGTCATTGGTGTGACACTAAGTTCGTTTCTTTATTGGAAGTAATTGCGTGAGTATGTCTAATGGCCATCACTTAATGAGAGCTGGAATTTAACATGCCAAGTGCTATGCTGACTGTTTTACTGCATTACCTAAACTAATCCTCACCGGTCTGAGGTAGGACTCTATGGGTCAGGGTTCTCTAGAAGGACAGAACTGACATCTCTTTCTCACACACACACACACCCCGTGGGGATACTTACTGAGAAATACGCTGGCAGGCATACCTAGTTGGTATAACCTACTACACACCTAGACTATATGGTATGGTTGTTATAACCTTTATTGATTTTAGTTGGCTATAGGGTGTGTGGACTCACCTATAGAGAGATGGGGGCGGGGGGGGGGAGTTAGTGAGAAAGCACTCTCCAGGGGCGATGGCCACGCTGCGATCCCTTCTTCATTCTCCTCTCAGGATTTGGGGCATGCACACACATCCATCCAGCTTGTTTTTCAAGCACTGGGTCTGGGATTCGAACCACACAGTAAGCCTGTGGGATCCAGCTACTTCCCACCACGCCACTGGCTGGCTCAAGCTTGTTACAATTATAGGACCGCCTTTGTAAATGCAGTTCGTTGCTGACTGAAATACTATCATTCAGGGAATGACCCTACGCGGTATATGAAGGGATTTACTAGGGGAGTTGGATGATTTTGGAGGCTGGAAGTCCCACGGGAGGCTGTCTGCAGGCTGCAGAGCTAGGGAACCTGGTGGTGGTGTGTAATCTAAGTCTGAGGGCTCAGAAGGGAAACTGCTGGTATCACTCTCAGCCAGAGGCTGGGCTAGAGGAGTGGGGAGTGTGAGGAGGTAAGGGTTCTGGGCTTGGGGAGGCGTGATCCATTAGAGCAAGTGCTTGAATCCAAAGGTTGGAGACCCTGTAGTTCCCATGTTCAAAGGCAGAAGAAAGGTGTCTCCACTCCAGAAAAGAGAGAGCAAATTTGTCTTTTCTGTCTTTATATATATTTTTTGTCCACTTGGGCCCTCAGCTGACTAGATGGTGCCCACCCACACTGGGTGAGGGCAGATCTTCCCTACTCAGTTCACTGATGCAAATGCCGGTGTCTTCTGTAAACACCCACACAGACACACTCAGAAATAGTGCTTTCCCAAGGAGCTGCGGCTCCCTTAACGCAGTCAGGTTGTCACCTAACAGTATCTCAGACCTATCCTTCTCTTCATCTTCAGGTTGCGACTGAAGTTTGCCAGAGTTCTGTAGCTTGCTGGTGTGGCAGCACAGTGAGGGCCAGAGTTTAGTTTATTCCATTATTATTATTATTATTATTATTATTATTATTTTAAATGACTTATTTATTTAAATTTATTTATTCATTTATTTATTTTAATAGGACGAGAGAGAGAGAGAGAGAAAGTGAGAAAGCAAGCTACCCGATCTGGGACTCAAACTGGGATCTGGGACTCAAACTGCCCTTGGCCATGTGGGAGTGTCCAGCACCTTAACCACCGTGCCACCGTGCTGGTCCCCAAGGCTAGTTTATTCTCATGTCAGAGCTAACTTGAGAGCAGAACCATCCTATTCCTTTTGAAGTGGGTTCTGACTTTGTGTGTGTGTGTGTGTGTGAGCGTGCGTGTGCGTGCACATGTGTGAAAGAGGAGGCATGAATGAGAAAAGCAGGATCAGGGTAAGTCATGGTTTTGATTACTTGGGTGAAGGCTGATTCTCTCGGGTACTTTTATGCTCTGGGTTTTAACTATGTAAGATCATATTCTATCACCATTTTTTTTTCCCCTACAGGAAAAGATACTTGAATTCTCAAATACTCTCCCTGTTTATTCCTCTTCTCTGTCTTAGATCTTTAAATGCCCAAGGGCTAACAGGCTCTCCATTTCGTCAAGAAGTTTGCTTAAACTGCTACTGATAACTAATACTGAGGTTGACTTTGTTCGCAATACACTACCTTTGACATCATAGAAAGAAGAAGAAAAAGGGAAATAAAAAAATGAAAAAAAAAAAAAAAAGAAAAAACAGTGCAGGAAAACTAAAATATCAATGACCTTGACTGGCATACTTTCAGTGTTCGTAGTCTGTATCTTCATCCATTCTAGATGGACTTTTTTCCTTACCAGAGGGTGGATGAACTTGCCAGAGAGAGAGAGAGAGGGAGAAGGAGAAAACATCCTCGCAGTGGGGCAGGGTCATATCATCATCCCTTCTCCTTTTCTCCATGCTGTTGGGATTTGGGGCTCACACACACACATGTCCAACATGTTTTTCAAGTCACCTGAGCTGGGACTCGAACTGTGAGGACCTATGTGGGTTTCAGCTCCTTAGACTGGAACTTTCCTTCAGCCTTTCAAACACATATTATCTTTTCAAAACACGTGTAATGAAAGATGACTTCAAGGCATCACATGAAGAATTTTGCCTGTTAATTGCCACCACTGAGAGAGGAATGGGGCTTGATTGAACTCTTGGTGGCAGAAACCATATCTTAATCGCCTTTGTACTCTTAAAATCCAACAGGTGCCTTGGATGTAGTAGTGGCTTCATATATATATATATAGTTTGAGGGTATGGCTCTAAGCAATGAGGGCCCTAAAACATGAATGAATTTTGCCCATTTTAGGTGAAACACTAAAACATATACTACTTTCTCGGAAAGAAAAATTGTATTTGTAGTTGATATTTCCTCCTAAAAATGGAACAATTTTTGCTGATGGAAGTAGTATCTGGCACTTTGAAATAATGTGGAGGCAGATAGCAAAAACTAACAGCTCCTGGGCCAGTTGGTGATTAAGTGGCTGGATCCAACACGGCCAACTGTGCAGTTTGAATCCCAGAGCCATGGCCTGAAGAATACACTGGGCACGAGTGTGCATGTGTGCGTGTGCGTGCGTGTGTGCTCAAAGTCCCAATAAGAGGGAGAGATGGAAAAGGGATTGTGACCATTCCCCACGAGTGGTGGTTTCTAACTTTCCCTCTCTCTCTGTGTCTCTCTGTGGTAAGTGCACATGCCCTGTGGTAAAAATTAAAACAGCAACAATGAAACAAAAGTGACAGTCCTTTCGAAAAGCCAAGTGTCAGAATTGTGAGCTTACCTCCGTTCAGCATTGTGGTAGCACTCTGGCTATTCTACTCTAGGGGGCAGACTTGAGCTAATATTTGGACTGAATGCTGGACACAAGCCTGTCCTTGGCCAATGACAACGTCACTATCATCACTTTCACACTGAGAGAAGTGCAGTGTTCTCTGTCCAAACTCTCAGGGGTTGAACTAAACAAATGAACTGTTTGATAATTTTTATAACTGACTAATATATTTAAGGGTATACACTAAAGGAAAATGACAAGCTGTTTATTTCCATGGGACACAAAAGGTCAAAGAGGGTTTAAAACCCTGAGCAAGATGATTGGCATTTGTTCCAAAGGGAAACTTTAGGCTGACAAAGTGAGGGATTATAAATTCTAATTTATGAGTCTCTTGCAACCTTGAGTTATGCAATTCTGATTTGACTCAATTCCTCCTGTAATGCTGTAGCCACTTAACACATTAATTGGCTGAGCACAGGTCTGTCTGTCTACATATAAGGCGATGTGAAGAAAAACTGGTAGTGGCTGTGAAACTCCTCTGTTTACCCTGGCTTGTTCCTGCGTGCGGGTCCAGCAGCTTGTGGGGTGGCTTAGCCCTCAGTGCCTGGCCACACCTAACTTGAATAGCGTCTGCCTTGGCTCTTGATCTCGGAATCTCTCATCTCTCCCTTGCTTTCTAGTTGTGAGGATTCATTTGTTCATTCAATGGAGAATTTTTTTTTTGACTGCTTAGAATGTGCTGGGGACACAGAAATTAGCAAGCCAGACAAAAGCCACTGTCCTGAAGGAGCCAATATTCAGCAATAAAGATAGATAATAAATAAAACTCAAAGAAACATATAGTATAGTGTATGAATAATAATTCGAAGAAACAATAAGGAGTACAGGAAGATGAGAATGCTCTTTAGGGTTGCCGAAGAAGTCTATCTGATAAGGTGCTTTTTTAAAAAAGAGTGATTTTAATTTAATTTTATTCATTATCATTAATTAATTAATTAATTAATTAATTTTGGTAGAGGTTTTTGCCTTAGGGCATGTGCGCTTGCTCGAGAGGGAGAGAGAGACAGAGATGGTGAGAGGAAAAGTGAGAAATCACCCCCGGGGGGGAGGGGGGTGGCCACAGCACATCCTTTCTCCTCTATTCCCCTCCCAGCATCTTGGGCACACATGCACACGCGCCCGGCATGAGTTTCAAGCCTCTGTTCTAGGATTTGAACTATGGTTGCCATGTAGGAGTCCAGCAATGTAACTGCCATGCCATCTTCTTGTACCTATTATTTTTTTAATTTGCCCAGAGAGAGATGGAGAGAGAAAGAGAGAAGGAAAATTACAGAGAGAGGGAGTCCAACACCTTACCCACCATACTACCTGCCAGCCCGATAAGGTGCCATCTGAGCTGAGGTATGAACGAAGTGAGGGTCCTAGGCACAAATGCAGCAGTGCAAAGACACTGAACTTGCCATTTGGTCTTGTTTACAAATGGCAAAATATTTCTGGAAAGGCCTGAATAACAGGGTGGGAAATGAGATTGGAAAGTGCCAAAGCTAGATAACCCACAGTCTTGTTGGCTTTCTCGTGAGATACTGGGGTTGTCAGA